GGGGTAGCTGCATCCAAATGGAGTAATTCACAGCTAAGTCACCAGCTTTTGCAATTACCTATAAAGCTGTAGTGAGGCTTCTTACATTCTCTTCACCCTATGAGTTCCTTTATCTTCAAATCTGTTTTAAAGAAGTGAACTACAAGGTCAAGATGGACATATTAACTGGATAAACATAGGTGGATCTGTGTTTAACTCCAGCTTTGTGCATGATACTCCAGGACATTCTGAAACTCCAACAGCCTTAAGATACACCAATTACCTTCCAGAAGCTTATATAACCCAAATGGGTCGGGAAAATAAGCTCAAGTAATCACAGTACTAAAAGGCACAAAGAAATAAGTGCTATATGCCAATAGAGGCAGCTCTGATGTTAGCTGGTACTAGGAGGGTTTGGACCAATGATGTACTACTTTCTCCATCAGTTGGGCTTAGCTTCTCCTTGTAAGTAACTTGAGTTGGTTTAATTCCAGAAGTATATAGACTCTCTCTCTCTCTCTCTCTCTCTCTCTCTCTCTCTCTCTCTCATTGGATAACCATTTTTAAGACCATAAGGGGTTCTACCTAGCAGGCTAACTTCCTGAGAGATGGCTGCTGTGCAGTGTTGTATGCTGTCATTGCCTAGTTATTGACGGCAGGAGAATGTGATCCCTTCAAACTGACATTGTTTGATGATGGTATAGACAAACCTGTAGCTGTGGGAGGCCACTACATTCTCCTTTGTGTTTATGACTAACAGTAAGAAACAGAATGCCACAAACCCTCGTTTCCAGGGTTACCTTCTTGCTGCTGATAACAAGCAGGAAATTAAAGCAATCTGTGATAGTGTTTTGTTCTTATTATCCAAAGATGGTAGCTTACAGATATGTTAGAGAAAAACATAAGTAAATATAGCTGGGGAACTTTATTACTGAAGAAAAACAATGATTTGACTAGGCCAAGTTTATAGTGTGGGTTCAATTTAATGAAATAGGATATAGGCAACATATTAATATTTTATTACCACACAAAGCATTGAATCATATGAGGATTTCGGGTTTATTCCTTTTGATTTTGAGTATGTAAATATTTGCATGAGTTCAAACTCAAAACTGCCTGATAGATTATATTAAGTGACAGCTCATTTCCATCCATATCCCTCTGTTCTGAATGGCATATGACGTTAAAACCTCTTCAGTTCTGTTGTCAAACAGGAAAAGAAGCCACAAGAAACACAGTGTCATCTTACTTTTATAAAATAGATACGTGCCAAGTGCCAATGGTTCATGCCTATAATCCTTGCTACTCAGGAGGCTAAAATCTGAGGATTTCAGTTCAAAGCCAGCTCAGGTTGGAAAGTCTGTGAGACTTATCTCCAATTAACTTCCAGAAAACTTAGAAGTGCAGCTGTGGCTCAAAGTGGTAGAGCGCGAACCTTGAACACATAGAGGCTCAGGGACAGCACCCAGGCCCTGAGTTCAAGCCCCACAAATGACCAAAAAACCAAAACCAAACTACAGAATTTTCTGTTTTAGGCGGCTTCAACCCATGATCCTCAGATCTCAGCCTCTTGAGTAGCTAGGATTACAGGTGTGAGTCACCAGCACCTGGCTTAAAGATTATTTTTTAAAGTTCATTTTATATCTTTGGAAGGGTTGGGGGGAGAATAAGGAACTTGAGGATTTGGGGTGAAAAAGTACAGCAGTGGAGCTCACTGGACATTGATGAAAGTGAAATATACAACTTGTGGGTGGAGACAGGAGGGAGGGACTATGAGAGAATGAGGGACACTGACAAAAGGCAGGGTTCTCATTACCTGACTCATGTCATTGTAATCCCTCTGTACCCCACCTCTATAATAACAATAAAGTAAATTAGTACACATTTTAAAAAGTTTTTATAAAGTTCATTTTATTAAGGTATGATTAACATTTAATGGTACTTACCAACTCTACGTGGACAGTGTGCATTTTTAGCAACATAGCACTCCCAGCAGAATGAAGACATGGGCCTTCTTTACTCAGCATGCTTCTCCCACTTTTCTGATTCCTGGTGAAGCACCTGTGTACTTTCTGCCACGATGGTTTTACTTTTCCATGAAAAGGTACAATTGTGTATCACTAGGAAATTTTACTGTGCAAATGTCAAATCGTACTCACATGAAGTAAGATTACTGTGACATTATTAGGAGATATACTCTTACAGGCCCACTGTTGTATATGGGACCTGTGGTTGAGTGAAATGTCATTAACCTTTCCTGTGTATATGCATATTTTGATTTTACTGTTGCATTTAGTTATTTCCTAGCCTCCTCTCCTACTGCATAGTTCTGTCATCCTTCCATGTCTTTCCATAACCTTGTTGCATTGGGTGAGGGGAGAGGGAAAGTAGGAGAAAAATGAGGGAAAGGGTAATAAGTTTGACAAGAAATGTACTTATTACCTTACTTATATAACTTATATAACTTATATACTTTACTGTAACCCCTTGACAATAAATTTTTTTAATTTAATTTAATTTTATTTGTGAACATACTGTACAGAGGGGTTACAATTGCATGGACAGGATAATGCGTACATTTCTTACCAAGCATTGCAGCCTCCTCCTTTGTTTACCCTTCCCATCCCTTCCCAGCCTCCCCCCTCCCCCCCATCCAATCCTTCTCCTTCCCCCCTCCCCCCACCCCCTTCTCCCCCCCCACAATAAAAAATTTTTTAAGTACTTATTGAGACAGCATGGTCGCATATGTCTTAATCCTAGTTAGTTGGGGCAGGAGGATTATTAATTTGAGACCTGACTAGGAAACTTGATGAGACTTTGTTTCAAAACAAAACAAATACTTGTTGACTTATTTTGTAGAATATCCTTCAAATTTTCTGATAATTATAGCATAATTAAATTTGGGGGATTTCTTTTGCCAAAGGAGATAAATGTATCTGACATTTGATGATCCTCTTTCTTTCTTCAAGGAAAGAGAGAGAGAGTATTTCTTGTGTGGCTAAAGCTTTTAGTAAGGTGACACATGTAATGACATTATATTAAACTCTTGGAGAAATCCGGCATACTTCTGGGAACACTAAGGAGCTATTTTTGAACTTCTTTCAGAAACATGACCGAAGGTTAGGTCAGAATATTCAGAATAGAAAACTACTATTGGAGAAAGAATATTTACTTAAAGAATGACAGTGAGCCTTTTTCTCCCCAGGTTTTACCAGCCACTCGTATCTGTATTTATCTAAGGGTGTTGCAACCCCACACGTCCACTTTTGTGGACCACACTAATGAATTTTCTGCCGCACGATCAACTGCATCTCAGAATAGCCTGACTCAGGGGATAAGAACTGTGGTTGAGCTGATGACTCAGTATCTGCCGAGCCCCTAGTTGAGGAGCATCAGGGCCACTGGAGGTCAGCCAGTGTGGGTGGACATTTGTACATCTTCTCTGTGACTCACCAAGCTAGCTGCCTTCCTTTCTGAGGGCAAAATAGCTGTGGGTGGCTGCAGAGCTGTATTCATCACCCCCCTCCTGTGTAGTCATACTGGGTAGCTTGGGTATCCCCCAAATCCTTGAAATCATAGCGAGGTATCTTGCTATATCTTATCAGTCATGCTGTGTGGGCATTAGTACAGGGGTTTTTCCTCTCCCTCTCCCCCTCTCCCTCTCTCTCTCTCCCCCTCCATCTTTCCTTCCCTCTTTCTTTGGGACTTGAAATTAGAGCGTGGGTGCTGTCCCTTAGCCTTTTTACTAAAGGCTGGCGCTCTATCAGTTGAATTACAACTCTACTTCTGGCTTTTTTGGTGGCTAATTAGAAGTAAGCCTCAAAGATTTTTCTGATTGGGCTGGCTTTGAACAATAATCCTCAGATTTTAGTCTCATGAGTAGTGAGGATTATAGGCATGAGCCACTGGCACCTGCATGTATCAATTTTATAAAAATAAGATGATAACTGTGTTTCTTTGTGACTTCTTTTCCTGTTTGACAAGAGAGCTAAAGAGGTTTTAGTGCCACATGCCACTCACAGACAACACTGGGGAATTGGCTGCCATTAGTGCCATGCTATAGTAACATAGCACCATATTTCCTGCCTTTCCTAGGGAGCATTCAGGACAGGGCATTCTTCTAGTCTTCCCTTCTCCCCCATTATCTAATTAACATACTGTTTTGCAGATGAGTTTGAGATGTTCAGTGAGCACCGTTTTAAACAAAGTTTTTTGTTTTTCATTTTTAAATGTCTGTTGTAAGCTGACCGTATGTGCTAGGTACATAGCTTATACAGCACACTGTCTCCCAAAACCTCCTCAGAGAAGCAAACACATGCAAACTATATGATTTATTTCCTTTTTTTTGTGCCTACACTGAGGAAGTTTACAGGTGTAGGAAGCTATCTGGGGAGTTGATAATAGAGGTCAGGGGGGTTGGAGGCAGGGCTCAGTTGGTAGAATGCTAGCAAGTGAGTGAAAGTAGCCACAGGTACTGGGTTTGAGTCTTGGTCTTGGATCTAGAAAAAAAAGAAAAGAAAAGATAATAGAGATGTATATATAGTTCTGGACTATGAAGGCAAAGAGTGAACAGCAACTTTTTCCCTCATACCTGGTGTTCTACATAGCCATTATAGAGGAACACAAAGTATGAGGAAATGCAAAAGATGGTGAGTCACCCATGTCTACCTACAGAAATAGCCACTTTTATTTTCCATAATTCCCCCTTCCAGCCTGCCTTCTTCTCTCGCCCATCTTCAGTCTTCCTGTCTTCTTTCTCATACTATAACCCTATTTGTAATTCTACATTTATTTTGTCACATGTTGTCTCGAGGATTTGTTAAGAATGTAATTTAGAGAAAAAAGACTTTTACTAACTTAATAGAAAAATTCAGTAGCTTTCATTTATATGTCTTTAATACTTCAGTGAGGATTCACCTTTTTAAACGCTTATTGTCTTCTCCTGTCTAATCACAGTATCCTTTTGACTTTGTGTTTTGTGTAAAATTGGCAATGTGACTAAGTCAAGTCTCTGATTTCAGATGTCCTGAACGACGCAATATTTGATGAGGACCACGATGAGATGGTGATTGTGAAGGACATAGATATGTTTTCCATGTGTGAGCATCATCTGGTTCCCTTCGTTGGAAGGGTAAGACATTCCTTGTTTCCTAACCATTTAAAAGGGCATATAAATGAAAGTTTTAACTTAATATAATTCTATTTAAAAGTGTCAGCTACAAATTTCTATTTTTTTTTTTTGGGGTCCGGTCGTGGAGCTTGAACTCTGAGCTTGGGCACTGTCCCTCAGCTCTTCAGCTCAAGGCTAGTGCTCTACCACTTGAGCCACAGTGTCACTTCTGGTTTTTTTCTTTTTGCTTATGTAGTGCTGAGGAATTGAACCCAGGACCTCATGCATGCAAGGCAAGCACTCTACCACTAAGCCACCTTCCCAGCCCACAAATTTCTAATATCCCAAACATTTAGCATTATATTGAAATATTTACTCTTTATCAGCCTGACTACTCTGATAACTCCAAGGTAAGAAGCAGAAATGAAAACAAAGCAACAGATGGCCTCCCAGGCATTTTTTCCTATTAAATATCGTGGTAAAAGGTGAAGAGAATGAGGTCAAGGTAGCATCTTTGGGAATGATGTTCTGAAAATCTTTGCCCTTTATTTTGAGTGAATAAAGGGTGATCTATGGCATATGTATGACATGAGCAGTAGTGATAGCAAGATTTCTTGGGTCAGAGGTTAAGGTATTAATCGATTGAATTTGATTCTATTGCTTTCTATATTAGGAAAAATGAGTTGAGTGCAAGCTAGATGGCACATTATTAACTTTGTAAGTATAGTGAAATGTACCTTTGAAATATGTGGGTTTAGGACAAAGAGTTGTTTTCTTCTCCACCATTATATAAATTTTATTTTAGCTATTAGTAAATTTCAAACAAAAGACTTGCAAGACATAGTATTGTGAGTACCCATATACTCATAGTTTAATTGAATAAATATTCATATTTGCTTTAATTTGTGTTAGAGTTCTATTTTTTCATTAAAAGTAGAAGTCAAATATAGGAAAATACCCAAAGCACACAAAGATGTGTTTATTTTCACTGTTCTATGTTATTGCATTAAGTAGTGTATCACTGTTTATCTGTTCTGTTCCCAATGGACATTTGCGCTATCCTGATTGGGGTATTGCAAACAACACTGGTATCACTTGTCTCATGGTAAACATATGCATGTGTTTCTGTGAAGAACCTCTCTAGGCATGGGATTAAAAGATCCCAAGTTGGCTGGGCACTAGTGGCTCATGCCTGTCTCCTACCTACTCAAGAGATTAAGATCTGAGGATTGTGGTTCAAAGCTATCGGGGACAGGAAAGCAGTGAGACTATTATCTCCAATTAACCAGAAAACTGGAATTGGAACTGTGGTTCAAAGTGGTATAGTGCTAGCCTAGAGCAAAAGAGCCCAGGGACAGTGCCAGACCCCAAGTTCAAGCCCCATGACCGACAAAAGAAGCAGAAGCAGAAGAAATTCTACTACATTCACCTGTTTATACACCCAGCCATGTACTGGAGTTCTCTTTCCCATTCTTGCACATTTCCAGCCTAAATTTTAATATGCAGCTGTAAGCATAGTGATATCCCTTCTTTTTTGTGTGTGTGTGGGGGTCTGGTCGTCGGGCCTGAACTCTGGGCCTGGGCACTGTCCTTAAGCTCTTCAGCTCAAGGCTAGCACTCTACCACTTGAGCCACAGTGCCACTTCGGCTTTTTTCTTTTTGCTTATGTGGTGCTGAGGAATCGAACCCAGGGCCTCATGCATGCCAGGCAAGCGCTCTACCACTGAGCCAATTTCCCAGCCTGTGGTATCCCTTCTTAAAGAAAACTTCTGTCATTGAAAAATTGTAACATATGTAACAATAAAATGGCTAATATAATAATCTCCCAGTTCGTATCAGCCAGCTTCAAGAGTTATCAATAGTACAGGGCTAGTCATGTTATATCTCTTTCCTCATTGCATTAGGCTGAAGTACATCTCAGATATAGTCCATAGTTTCTCCTTATTTAAAAGATAAGGATTCCTTCTCAAGAAAACTCAGTTTGAAAATAAATTAGAATTGTCGTTCAACATATTAATATAAAATATTGTACTACAGACAAGATTATCTTTAATCACTATTAGCCCTGAAATATTGACTGGCCAATAACGGCAATTAATATTAATAGCATCATCAGTTAATTGGTAATCAATACGAGTGAATCAACACATTCTCTAAAATATTTTTATCTACTGTAGCATGACCACAAACAAAATTAAAAGTAAATTCTAAGTAGCATCTAATAACATGTATTTTGAGTTCTCCAGTTACTGCAAACATTTTCCATGGATTTATAAAGAAGCTAGTTAGGAGTCGCTTTGTATTTTTGTTGGCATTTTGTGGTATCTCCTGCATTACTGTTTTCTTCTAAAATAGCCCCTCCTCCCCCAATGGAAGATACTAGGCCTGTTATTCTGTGGCGTGCCTCACCTTCTGGATTTGTTCCTTCCAGCCTCTAGCTTTCCTAAAAACTAGGTTTGATTTGAACCTTCACTATTTTAAGAATGAATATTTCTGACAGAAGCGTGCACAGGGGTGCCAAGGACTTCATAGTATACTACAGAAGAGGCATCCACAGTTAATGAAGGAACTTTTGGGCTCATCTCTGCCTTTTATTTGCTATAGGTGAAACAAATTCATCTTTCTTCCAAGAGGATATGGAGAGTTAGTACCCTGGCCTGGCATGGGTTGGACCCAAAGCATTTAGTCCTGTACTTAGCCTCTGGCTATTGCATCCTCCTACCTACTGTGATAATTACCTCTGCATTCATGTTCTTACTAGCTTTGCTTTTTAGTGGTGATTTATTTATTTTTTAGTGGTGATTTTCTAAAATGGGCATTTAGATGTCTTAGGTCCTAAATAAAGACCCAAAATAGTATAAACTATAAGCATATTCTAGTTCTGCATAAATAAGCATGGTAATTTCAAGTGTATAGAAGAGTAACTTTTTTTTTGCTTTAAAGAATGCTTTATTTACTACAGACATCCTTAGAATGTATTGTAAATGGAGCAAGATCTAATAAGCTTTTCCAATACAAAGCAGCTACAGTAACTATTTATATAGTTTGTTATAGAAGAGTAACTTATCTTTGTAACACCCAGTGTTCAGATGCTACTGTGTCTTCTCCTCCTGTCTTCTAGGAAGGTAATGAGGTAGAATTCTCAAACCATTAAAACATAGCCGTAATGAAAAAAAAAAAACATCTTTTGGTTGGGGACAAGAGAGAGAGCAGGAGAGAGCAAGGGAAGGGGAGACATGGTTCAAAAAGAATTGTACTCATTGCTTGAATCATGTAACTGCAATACCTCCATATAGCCACTCTACAATAACAGCAAATAAAAAATTCACTAAATATTACATCAGTAATAGTATCAGTAAATATTATTATTGTTATCAGTAAATATTAGCTGAATGAATGAAGACTTTTATGTTGGCAATCGTGATGAGGGAGATGTGTCTGTAATTTTATATCTGGTTAATTGATTGCCTATAAATGACCCTTTACTTAATTAGCCTTTTCCAGAGAGCTTATGTTTTTCATTCTTCATATTTGGCTTAAAAGCAAGGTAACATCTACCTATTATTTAATGGTGCCTTTAAAGACTGTAGAAGTGACTTTGCCTTATAGTAGGTAGGTCATGTATAAAACTTGTCTCTTAGAGTGCATGTTCTGGCAGGTACAGCATTAGCTTGTGTTCATTGTCTTCCGTCAGGATGATGGAGCTCTCCCAGCTCTCCTTTAGAAATGGGGCAGCCAACATAAAAGGATGTAGAGACCCTTGTGCAATAGCACTCTGCAGTGTGATTCCTAAGCACTATGATGTGCAGAATGACAACATTTCTATTTACAGTTTATGCCATTAAATAAGACTCTCCCTTCTTTCTTGAGAATTTTTTCCTGTCTGTAGAGAAAACACTTTCACATTCATATCAAGAATTTAACTTTATTAGGGAATATCACAGCAACACTTTAAATCTGTCATTTGATTAATAGACTAATCCATCTATAATGTCCTTTTGCCATCTTTATGTAATTTAAAAATACTTCCGTAATTGCTTCATTTTTCTGTCTGAATGCCTCTGAATGTTTTAAAGATGCATTGTCATGGAGATGAATTTACATGTAAGAATAGCATAGTTTCCCTGTATTTCCTTATTTTGCCATCAAAGATGTGCTGTGCCTTTATTGAGCTCATTGTTTCTATCTCCTCTTTGAAGGTTCATATTGGTTATCTTCCCAACAAGCAAGTCCTTGGCCTCAGCAAACTTGCAAGGTAAGTATAACCACGTGGTATATAAACAGTGTATACAATTGCTCCTCTTTTTTTTTTTGTTGGTCATGGGGTTTGAAATCTGGGCCTGTGCGCTGTCCCTGAGATCTTCAGCTCAAGGTGAGCGCTCTTCCACTTGAACCACGGCTCTACTTCAGGTTTTCTGGTTAATTGGAGAGAAGAGTCTCACGGACTTTCCTGTCTGGGCTGGCTTTGAACTGTGATCCTCTGATCTCAGCCTCCTGAGTAGTTAGGATTATAGGCATGAGCCACAGGCACACAGCCAATGGCTCCTCTTTAGTGAGAGTTGTCTCACCAATATTTCACTCTCCCTACAATTGTGGCTGTAAATTGGAAGTAATTTTGTAAGTAAACATATATAGGTTCCAAAGGCAATCAGACTTAGAATCTAAGGCCTCACACACAAATGCTCCTCTCTTCCCATTCACCACTGCCTTGTCCCCTTGCTCTCCCCTCTCATCTTTGATGTCTCAGCTTGTAGAGATACAAGGCTTGGGACTGGGAAGGTGGCTCAGTGGTAGAGCGCTTGCCTTGCATGCATGAGGCCCTGGGTTTGATTCCTCAGCACCACATAAGCAAAAAGAAAAAAGCCAGAGAAGTGACGCTGTGGCTCAATTGGTAGAGCGCTAGCCTTGAGCTGAAGAGCTGAGGGACAGCGCCCAGGCCCAGAGTTCAGGCCCCACGACTGGACCGCCCCCCCCAAAAAAAAGACACGAGGCTTACCTCTAATAAAGGGGGTACTTAAAATAAGAGATGGAAGAGAGAACATAGGCAGGGGACTAATTGCAATACACAGTTTTCAGATTTGTTTTGTTTTAGAAGTTGAAAAGGCATCTGTGTTTATGGAGAACACTTTCAAATACATTATTGGAAATCCTTTAGTGTTTAAATAGAATGTCATAATCATAAAAATAAGACCAGAAGACTGGAATTGACCTCACACACAGAGCAGGGCCAAGTCCTATTAAGACTTGTCTTTTGTCTCCAAAAACAGATAATGCTCCTTGGTGAATTGTACACCACCTGAATACTTCAGCACATCTCTTCTATTCAAGGCTTCTTTCCACAGTGTGTCCTTAGCATATCTGTGAACTGAGCTGAGATTAGAAGCTTTCCACATGCACTGATAGATCTCTTCACTGCATTCTCACTAGTGCTAGAAAGGGCATGTAACAAGAATGCATTTCCCAGTTCTATATGTGTGGGGATTCTCTCCAGTGTGTGAATCCTTTCATCTCTGTGGAGGGAATAACAAAAGGCTTTCCCACATTGCTTACACACATAGGAGGTCTCTTCACTGAGTTCATTCACTGTGAGTTCATTTCAATCTCTGAAAGTCACACATAGAACTGAAGGCTTTCTCATATTGCTCACATCCATGGGCTTCTCTTCAGTGTGAGAGCTGGGATGTCTTAGAAACTGTAACCACTGAAGCCTTTCTCACATGCTTACTACACACATAAAGGTTTATGTTCAGCCTGAGTCCTCTATGCTTCACCTTTATATGGCCTTTCTTTGTGTTCCTGGTACACATACTGACTGTGCATGGTGTGAACTCCAATGGGCACACTTAGGGATGAATGACTACTGCAGACTTCTGCAGCCATTGGCTTTCATGTGGTTTTAACTCAGAAGTTTTCTTGTTTACCTTAGGATCTGGAGACCAGTTGGGGATTTCTCCACACAGACTATAATGAGGAATGTATCTTTATACTTCGCTTCTTAGCTTTCTCCTGGAATTTTTATAGCTACCTTCCATGTTCTGGTCTTCTGGATCTTTTCCATTTCCCAGGTGTTATGTGTTCTAGTGTCCTAAACAGGACTCCTGGAAGTCACAGAATGATGGAGAATGAACCATTTGTCTGGTCTATTGGTGATGCTTTCCACTGAGTTTAAAATTTTATTTGTTTACTGAGCCTTTTATTTCCAAGATTTCATGTTTTTCTTTTTCAGAACCTCTATCTGTGCTGAGTTACTCACTTTCCCATCCTGATCTTGAATTGGCATCTTTATTTCTTTTGTATGAGGTCACTGATCCTTTTTATTTTTTTAATTTTTTTATTTTTGGGTCCGGTTGTGGGGCCTGAACTCTGGGCCTAGGCGCTGTCCCTCAGCTCTTCAGCTCAAGGCTAGCACTCTACCGCTTGAGCCACAACGCCACTTCCGGCTTTTTTCTTTTTGCTTATGTGGTGCTGAGGAATCAAACCCAGGGCCTCATGCATGCAAGGCAAGCGCTCTACCACTGAGCCACCTTCCCAGCCCTCACTGATCCTTTTGATTTCTTTATCTGGATTTTAGCCATCTGCAGTATCTTTGGATAGTTACTGAAGAGTTGTGAACTTCTGGGCATTCTTTTTCTTGGTGGTGCTAGGGTTTTGAACTCAGAGCTATATGCTTGGTAAGCAGACATGATAGAGAGACAAGCCTTGAGGACACTCCAGCATTTAAAGGAATCATGCTGCCTTTTTATATTTATGGGTCTTATTGTTGTTTGTTTTTTGTGTCAGTTCTGTAGTCAAACTTAGGGCCTGAGTGGTATGCCTGTGCTTCTTTGCTCAAGGCTAAGATTCAACCACTTTAACTATAGTTCCACTTTCAGCTGTTTGGTGGTTATCTGGAGATATATGTTTCATGGACTTTCCTGCCATGGCTGACTTTGAACCTCAATCCTCAGTTCTTACCCTTAAGCAGCTAGAATTACAGCTGTTCAAGTGTGTACCACTGGCACCCAGCCATACTTATGTATTTTAAGTTGTTGTTTATTCATCTGTTGGAACAAATGTCTTTTTTGGTTTTATTCAAGAGTTCCTTTAGTAAGAAGACCACTTATATGGGCTCAATCCTTAGTACAAATCAGAGAAAAGAAAACAATGATCATAACAGCAACAATAAATATAAAAATACAAATAAAAATGAATTAGAGATATCACCAATAATCATAGGAAAATATTAGAGATACTTTGCATATATGTATGAAAGTATCACAATGCACCTTGTTTTGTACAACTAATAAGTACTAAGAAAAATATTTTAGATAAAAAGAAAGCAAAAAATAATGTAGAATAAACTATGAAGTTAAATGTTAAAGCAACAGTAATGAATGAATGAAATAAAGGAAAAAGACAAGGAAAGGGAAAAAATGAAGACACAAGATTAAGTAAAAGAAATGAAAGAACAAGGATGTAAGAAAGAGGAAGAAAAAGAAGAGATGAGAGCCAAGTACCAGTAGTTCACTCATGTAATCCTAGCTTCTTTGGAGGCTGAGATCTGAGGATCACAGTTTGAAGCCAGCCTGGGCAGGAAAGTCCATGAGACTCTTATTTCCAATTAACTACTCAGAAAAAGCCAGAAATATTGCTGTGGCTCAAGTGGTAGAGAACTAACCTTGCACAAAGAGGCTCAGAGACAGCCCTCAAGCTCTGAATTCAAGCCCCAGGACTGGCGCAAATATATGTGAGAAAGAGGGCTGGGAAGGTGGCTCAGTGGTAGAGCGCTTGCCTTGCATGCATAAGGCCCTGGGTTCAATTCTTCAGCACCACATAAGCAGAAAAAGCCCAAAGTCGTGCTGTGGCTCAAGAGCACTAGCCTTGAGCTGAAGAGCTGAAGGATAGGACCTAGGCCCAGAGTTCATGCCCCACGATTGACAAAAGAAAAAAGAAAAAGAAAGAATTGGGAAAACTTATTTCTGGGTCCTGTAGCATTGTAATCCAGGGGGTGGGGAGGGGAAATTGGGGTGGGGAGTGTGTGTGGAAGTGAGTTATACCTGGAGTCCATCTTAGTTCCTACTGTTAAGGCTGATGCTATATGCAGGTGGACGGCTGGTCCAGGCTGGTCAAAGGACATTGTCACCTTCAGGGCCACATTCATTTTATGTTTTCCTTCTTTGTATGTCCAGAGCCGCTGCTCGCCCTGACAAACTTTATAGCCTATGGAACAGGGTCCTGCTGTCTCCAGAGGCTCCCCAGGTTGTGTACCCACATCCAAGCTGAGTTGTGTCCCCTGACTGCTTAAGAGAATGGGGAGGGGCCAAGGAATGTGGCTTAGAATGCATGAGGCCCTGGGTTTGGTTCCTTGGTACCACATACACAATAAATAAATAAAATTAGTAAAAGAAAAGGAAAAAATAACCTTTCATTTAAAAAGAGAGAGAGAGAGAAAAAGAAAACGGGGAAAACAAAAGGCACTGAGATCTGTGGAAGGCAAGAAGTAAGGGAGCCCAGAGCTCCTTCTGCTGGCCTCAGTGCGTTCAGATCTTACTGAGCACCACCACCCTGTGGCAGAGAGGAAGCTGGGGAAATCCAGTGATCCACCAGACCTGGGCGCAGAGCTCTCAGCTGTGCCTGGCAGCAAGTCAGGGAGGCAGCACTATGGCCAAGTTAATGCTGCAGCTCAGGACAGGAGCCGGGAGCCATCAGTCCCTGCAGAAATCCTCAGGTGACTGGGCTTGGAGCCACTGACCACCATACTTTCATAGCTTGAGTTCCCAGTGATTTAAATTTATCAAGTCTGTGTCTGACTCACACTCTTCCTGGCTGCCATTCAGACACTGACAGAGGGTTTCTAGACTCCTTAACTTATGACTGTTCTTTATTTTCAGATCCCGAAAGTAGCTCAATCTCAAACAATAGGTCCCCTCTCAAGATGGTACCTGGTTCTAACACTCCAAGATATAGAGAGGTATGGAATAGGTTTCATCTTCAGTATTGGCCTTCGCCTGCCATGTAGGAGTTGCTAAGGTCTTGTCAGTGTCATTCTGCTGGATTTTTTTCCTTTTTTTTGTCAGTGGGCTTTGAACTAGGACCTATCACTTGATGGTAGACTCTACTGCCGAGGAATGCTCCAACCCTTACCTTTGCATTGGTTATTTTGAGATAGGGTCATTTTTTGTTGTTGTTTGTTTTGTTTTTGTTTTTGCTTAGGCCATGACTGGACCAGAATTTGCCTATTTTATATGTTCTATCATAGCTTGAATGATAGACACG